TTCCTTTTTTTTTTTTTTTTTTTTGTTCTTCCCATGAGAGTACCGTAAAGAAATGGAGTGGGACCCAGACTCGACAAAACTCGGAGCGCAGTGAAAATCAGGGTCGACAAAAACAGGCTCGGAGATACTGGTGGTTTATACAACAATGCAATAAAAACAACGTTTGCCTGAGTGTCTTATCGAAATTCACGAGAAAATTCGAGAAAAAAATAAAAACGAGGATGAAAATGTTTTTTACTGTTTTTTTCCAAAATTTCGATTTTAAAAGAACTTCAGTAAAAAAATCCGAAAAAAAAGTATGTTGTACAACATTGCAATGCAAACAACTTTTGCCCGAGGGCCTTGGCGAAATTCCCAACCAAATTTGATATAAAAATAAAAACAATGGCGGTGCTACAGGCTTCTGCAAAGTTGTACCCTAAAACTCGTTCTATAGAGTACATACGTTGTATTCGAATACAACGTACCCGGTATGTCGTATTCGTATACAAAGTACGTACATTTTTTTCGGGTTAAACCACTAGTACCTTTCCCGCGTGGAAAAATAGGGAAAACTGGCAGTTTTCCTAAACTCCTGAATATTCGGAGGTCGGGCCCGACGACGACTGCCATTCATAAATCTGATCGGCAGCCGTCTTTTCGTTTCGGCCTCTGAAAAGGTCGGATGCCTACCCGAGGTCCGCTATTTTCCCACATGGCAAAGGTACTAGTGGTTTAAGAAGGTAGTCTATACATATTTTCCGTGAAAGAGGAAGATTGAGCCATTGCAGGACAGTGCCCTGTCAAAATGCTTGCCATGACCATGGCCAGGGCGTATCTGGGAGCATTTTACGCCCTATACGATCCCGCCACCTCCATGTCAGCAGCGCCACTGGGCGTTGCATGAAGACATGCTCGATGGTTTTATTCCATTTGCATGGGGGAAAGGCTGTCGGGCATCGTTGGCACCATGGAGTTGCAAGCCCTTTTCACGCCAGGTTTGTGTGATCGACGAGCCAGGCGTTAGTTGGGAGGCAGCGGTGGGCGATCTGCCACTGCAAGGGTGTGACTTAGGCCGGCGTAACCTTGCTTTCAGCAAACCATCGGATCGTTGCGATGAGGGAGGAGCGATGTGGTTATTAAAGAATGTTTAAACACAAGTATACTTAGTTTATTTATTATTATTATTATTTTTTTAAAAGACTATACTCTTCTCTCATTTTTTCCTCACTTTATTATTATTTTTTTAAAAGACTATACTCTTCTCTCATTTTTTCCTCACACTACCTACCTACCACTACTCCTACTTATAGGCATACGGGAAACCCGTAGCATACCAGAGCCGTGTTTTTATGGCCCCTCGAGCCTGCAGGATACCGGCCAGGGGACGGCCGGTAGCACCAGGGATAAAGCAAACCAATCCCCCGTGCCTCCCCTCAGGCCCCTCCCCTATTTGTGTTCAAGTGTGTCTGGAGCATCAAAATGGTGTGATGTCTACATTGAGGTGTCTCACCCACCTATCATTTATCAGGTCTCGCAGCGGATGATTGGCGCGGAGCTCTTTATGTAGATTTGACCGTTAGCGACAGGCTGTGTAGGTGGACTGTTTTTGTTGTTTTCCGGCACCCTTCGGTTACCAATCTTTTTACTTATTTATTATTGTTATTATATATATATATATATATATATATATATATCGTCAAATAGAACTGCCCGGTATATATATATATA